GCTAATTTGGGCTCTTGAGTGCCACTCTCTGCAGAATAAGCTAATGATAAATATGTTAATAATATGTCTTATGCACAGTTCTTGAGTTGTTGAAAATAAGATTCCATAAAATAGCATTATTTGGCTTGTCTTTCAGACAAAATAAGGAAAAGATCCAAAATCCATAAAATGTATAAGAATAAGAACAAATCCTCTTCTCAAAAAGAACATAGCAATCTCTCTAATGTTTATTAAGTATTAATGTGGGCTTTACTTTTCTACATTTTCCTGGCTTTCACAAAGGACAAAAGAAATAATTGCACAGGAATTATATAAAAGCTCTATTTTCCATTTATAAAATTGACTAGACATTTTCAGCACTCAGTATCAATGTCAGTATTAACCTTAAGATGATATTATAGTAGATATTTACCTTGTAATAAAAATATAAATCACTGTTTATTCTCTGAAGCTAAACTTACCATGGTAAATTATTTATATATCTATTTTAATATGCATTTTGCATCTGACAGGACAGCTCTCCTTAGAACCCTTTTACTGACCCACCTGCCATTATGAAGGGGTAAACAATGTCACCTTTCTAGTGCACGATGAATTACAAAGAAGTTGTAAAGTATACCATCCATCATGCTGGCACTAAGTAGGTTTCCAAAGTAGATCTCAGATATCACAAATGCTATTTAGACTGTTACGAGAAAGTGCAAATTGGAAGCTTATACAAAATGGTCATATGATGAATGGACATGACAGGTCTTCAAAGAAAAGGGGCACTCCTCTTCTATAAATAACCTTGTCAAAAGCAAAAATTTGTGAGGAGCTTTGTGAGCAGTCAGACTAGAATAATTTAAGATTGTTAATAGCTCTGCCTGATAGAAACTCATGCAAACACAATGTAATCAAAATAAAAAACGAGGTATACCCAAATCATTAGCAGTAACCACTGAAGCTTGATTTGAATTAGGGAATGGTCTGAAGAGATACAGGAAAATCACCAGTGTCTTATTTGTTAGAGTATGTGACTTTCAATATTATATCTAAAACATGTATGAAATATATGCACGTATTTTATATGGATATGCAATAGTTACCTAGAAATTGCTTTTGAAAATCATAATACTAATATCCTTGAGTTTAAGAAAATCAATATCAATAACTTATTATATGCTTTCTTGACATAGATATTTAAATTATTATGTACTTAGTATAATAGATTTGCATTATTAATACCATTTTAAAATAGATAATGTCTTCATCTAATTTGCATGATTAATTTCTCAAATTATGTTCTTCAAATACAAGGTGTTTGTTTTATCCATATTGCATTTTAGTTTCTTTAACAATCCCTTTTATTTAGCCCTAATATTTCTAACATGGAGTATATTTCTAAATGTACGGTTAACTATTTTCTCCCTTTTAATAACTGCTTTTTCAAGTCTTTTGCAAGTCTTCTCTATTAAAAATGGCAGTTCTAATACATTTACAAATGATAGGAGAGTCCCAAATAAGGATTTAAGACTTCAAGGACATGTGGATAATTCTATGAATCTGCAGTAGATATTGGTTTTCTTTTATATGAAAAATAGGGAAATTTAAACATTTCTTGCTGATAAGTTAAACAAGTAGAAAACTCTCAGAGATAATAGTTATACAGAACATAAAAAAAGAGAAAAAAACACCTTAGTTCCCTTAATGAAATAATTAAAAAAAATAAATTTTGTAAGAAATAAAGGGATCTTCTTTGATATAGATAAAATCACTGGTTGGTCCTCTAACTTTTTAATTTTTTTTAAATTAGCTGTTTCAGTACAATGTCAAAGCCTAGAAACAGGTGTATATTGCTAGAACTGTGAAAGATAGTGACATAAGGGAAAGGCCTGCTGAACTCTGCCTTGTCCCACATATCTTGACTTTCATAGAAATTATTGTCATACCTGTGCCAAAAGGCAAAATTAAAAGGCCATGGTTAAATTAAAACTGCACATGTATAGCAGTTTGAAAGTTAAAAAATTGGCTGTTTCATTTAACTAAAATGTCTTTTGTGTCTCTTCTTCTTCATTTTTTTTTTCCCTTGGAGACAGGATCTCATTCTGTCATTCAGTCTATAGTGTGGTGGCATCATCAGAGCTCACTGTAACCTCAAACTCCTGGGCTCAAGTGATCCTCCTCCCTCAGCCTTCAGAGTAGCCGGGACCACTATGCCTGGCTTAAGTTTTTATAATTTATTATAGAGACAGAGTCTTGCTATGTTGCTCCGGCTAATCTTGAACTCCTCGTCTCAAGCGATCCTCCCACTTTGACCTCCCAAAATGCTAAGATTATAGGCAGGAGCCACTGGGCCTGGCTTTGTGTCATCTCTTGACAAGAGAAAAAAAAAATGAGGGGAAAAAAGAAGAATGTGGGAAGAAAAAGAAGAGAGAAAGAACTGCATATTTGTATTTGGATAAGAAAAAAGTAACTATTTCATGTGAAGGAATCTAAAAAGAAAGCTATTGAACCTGTTAAACATGTAATTGAAATGCTGATAGTATGTAACTAATTATTGTCTATAACTTATAATTGTAAATGGGTGAGGGGGTAGGGTTGAAGAACATTATCAGTACACTTAGAATTCAGATTTCTAGTTTGTAAACTCTGATGATATGAAATTGCTAAGGAAACAAAAAGGTACTCAAGTAAAATTTATGGAGCCTAGAGTTAAAATTTATGCAAGCTAACTTTAGCCTCCATAAACAATGACTACTAAACTTGAATATAAAAAACAAACATACAGTTATATATAATACTCTGTGTCCCAACATCTACACAAATATCATAGGACAATGACTTTGCTGAATAATGGAAAGCTAGAGCCAAGTAGATTCTTCAAAACTACCTTATGTCTGACTCAGCTTCCCCTACCCCATCTCAATGAGGATGTGTGTTTGCTGGTGGTGAGTGGTGAGTATGAATCACAAATCAGGAGCACACAATGTCTGTTATTATCCCTTTGAAACCAATGCAAACAGGTTATTATTGAAGTGTACCTCTGCCATCTTCTCCCCCTTATTGTACAGTAAGCTTTGAGTATAAAGGAACAGTGATATAAATCTGATTTTCCAAATGCAGTGAATCTCTACCTTAGACAGTAAGACCAACAACTATTTTCTCTCATAAGGGACTTTGGAATCCAGGGGAAGCTACATAGACATATATTTCTTTCCTTGGTCTGTGTGGAAACTGGACTATCTCAATATGAAATAGTAGGGGCATTGAGGGAGATTTTTTGTGTGTGGTGGACTCATATCTATGGGATTTATTTAATCATATTGTATCAGCAATCCACTTGGCTCAGTGGATTATTACAAAGGGCCATACAAAAGAAATGGGTACAGAGGTTGTAGTTTCATGACTCTTCCATATGACCTCAGTCAAGGAATAATCAATGTTTGCCAGAGGAAACGGAAAAGCAAGAAGATGGGAATGATTCTAATGACCCACTTGAGCTTGTATTTTGCAGTTTTTCTCTGTTTTAGACATGATTTTGTTTAGGGGAGGAAATGACCTGAACTTGAGCCATTCGGGATAAAGAGGTGGGTTGAAAATGTGTAGGGATAATGTAGGGTTAGGAGTCTGAGAGAAAATATGTGGGGTAACTTTTGGGCTTAAGGCCAAAGCTTCTGAGCCAAGGAAGGAGTGCTGGCTGCCTTCCTCTGTTTTTATTAATGTACAGGTGTGTTTCCATTATTGCCTTCCAGAAATAGTGTACATTAATCAAAGCAAATTACATGAGTCCTACACTAGAAATACTACAGACAGTTAATATTATATTAAATTTTAATTAATAGCAATACTTTCCAATGTCGTAATAGTTATATATAGTCCTTCTGTTAAATGTTAAAGTATGACACAACAGAGAACAGAAACAATGCTAAAGCATTGGAAAAGCTGCCCCTCCTCACCGCCACCATCGCCCCTAGAAAAGAAAAAAACATACTAGGAACAAGCATTCACTATTATCACTATTGTATTATTTTGAGTATTTCTGCAAAGTAATCATAAATGAATCATAGCTACTAATAAGTTAGAGTCTTAAAAATGTGTGCCCTTAACAACAGTCAGAAACATAACATTATTTTATTTGTATTAAATGAGGCAATCTACAATTTGATAAAAAAACTAAATGTGCTTGATAAAATTATACTTTTATTTTGAGACAGAAAACTTGCCCATATGAAGAAAACTAATGACCAATGTATGTTGTTGCATCTACCTTGTATATTGTTCTTACTATGGCCACACTCTGTTCTCTAGGATTCACAAGTATTAGTTAATTCTCACAACAACCTTATGAAGTTGGGACTATTATTATCCCCATTACAGAGTTGAGAAAGTTCTGCTCAAGATGGTTAAGTTAACATTAAGTAATTGGGAAATTGAGATTTAAAAGTAGTCTGTGTGGCTCTAGAAACCTTACATTCAGCCATTCTGCCAAAAAACACTACATTATAAACCAGTTAACCCAGAAAAGGTGGAGAAATAATTCACACCTAGCTTCTTGTTGCATGTGATTTCCATCATGAAAGCAGAGGCACTGCATTTCAAATCTTAAATGTGTGAATAATCACACCAATTTTCTACTTCATTTCTTGTGTGTATACATAATCTCAAAACAGAAACCTCTCATTTCTATTCTTTCTCTCCATAGCAATGTATTAAAATTTCCTTTTTCAAAACCATAGAATGAAATAGACTTGCCCTATATGGTCTTAGAAAATGTGAATGACTCAGTCACGCATTCAACACCTTCAAATTAAATTCTTCTAACATGTTTTCACTTTCAAAATATAACAAGAAAAGGGTCATGCAATCCAACTTCTTTTTCTTTCCTGGCACCTCCGCACTGAGAACATTTAATGGTTACTTTTGTATGTTGGATCTTGCCAGTTAGTTCAGTTTAGATGAAAGCCATTGTTTTCTAATTCCATTTCACTGTAAATGACAGAGACAAATGGTCATATTACCTTGAGAGTTCCTTTGGCAGAATAGGCTGCATATGAGTAGAGCACATCTTGGCTAGTGTCTTTTCTGGCTCTTTCGCTGCAGGGCTGGCCATTAGGATAGAAGCATTGACCACTGCTGTTCAGAGTCACAGTGCTGGGAGAAGGGCCTGGCAGATCAAGCAGCACAGAGTAATTTACAAACTGTATATCTTCTAGGCCCAAAGAAGTCCAATGAGTCTTGATCTGTTTTGAAATTTCCATGTCATCTTCACTTTTATACAGTTGTATGAAATTTCTGAAAGAAATTTAAAAAGCATACTTTAACCAAAAAAGAAAATCTTTATTCTTTTGAGATATGACTGCTTAATATATGAACAATTAATAATAGATGTTGTGGGATATTGAAAGATGAATAAGACAGGACCCTATTACAAGAAATTTACAGTTTGGTAGAATGATAGACTTGCACAGAAATTATGCTGAATCAAATAAATGCAGGATGAATTGATTTCTTAAATTAAGAACTAATAAAACACTACAAAACTGTAGAAATGAGTGATCAATGCCCACTAGTTCCTTTATTAGTTCTGATCCTTCTATCAACATCAACATAATCCTTTTAAAACTCAGTTCCAAAACTAGATGTCATGCTGGTTGAGGCAGTTTTGTATGATAGTTAATATGATTTCATATAAAATTATGTGATTAACATGTGGCTATTGCTTTTTAAAATAATACAGGAGAGCTCTTTAGATGCAATTTACATGTCAAATTACATGATGCTATGAGCACAATGATTTTCAATAATACCAAAATCAAAACACAGATTGCCAAACCAATATGAAATTAATGTTTATGTTGTACATTTTGTGCTTTATATATTATCCCTATGCCTATTCCACAATGCACAGCGACACTATCTATTTTAGTTTATGAAATTCTAGAAACCAGAAAATATCTGTTTAAAAAAATTTTGTATAGAACAGAATCGAACATGGGAACATAATAAAAATAATTTAATCTAGATAAAATTTTTTTTTCCTTTTTAGCTGAAATGAAAAGGAATCATAAAGGGACCAGCTTCCTTTCTGGGTAAAAATATATCCTCTTAAATGAATTTTATTGCTAGCCACTCTATTACCTAAGTGTTTGATACCATTATTATTTTTGTTCATCACATTATTTTTCTCCCACATACTTATTTCTTCCTAGACCCTGTTTATTAGAGAACGCTTCATAAAAAACACACCTCGAAAGTAACAAGAAATAGATACAATAGTGTAGGAAAGATTACTGGAGACAAAAAATATATCTGCTGATACAGCTCAGAAGCTGGCCTATACAGCAAGATGCAATAAGAAGTAGTTTCCCAGTTGTTTTCTGTCTTTTTGAAGATACTCTTATACATTTTTTTCTTTTCCTGATTTTTTTTTAAATTTTAAATATCTAGTTAAACCAGTCAACAGTGCCATGTAAATTTTATAGAAAAGGTGATGGAAGAATCCCATTTTTCATTCCTAATAGGACTGGTCTGTCTTCTACCTTGTTCTTTTGTTGTTTTTTTCTCCTCCTTAGACTACCAACTTTCTTTACTACTACTGCACTCTCTCTCTCTCTGCATATTGGGAATAGGGCAGGTAAACAGTTAAAACTTAACACAATTTGATGAGAAAGTCATGTAGAAAGGTGAGTCAGTAATATTCTTTAAATATATATAAAGTGGGGTTTCAGAATACATATTTTATTTATGAAAATTTAGCTATATATAATCAACATTAACAGAAAAAGAGAAGAAAAATGTGAATACTCCTTTAGATTTTGTTTGCTCTTCTATCCAGTTAATTGATGAACATAAATCCACCAGAAAACATGCAAGATATTTGATCTGCCATTCCTTTTATTGATTTCAGTTCCAAAGTGCTTCATGGTGTAAACAACTCAACAAAACACTGAATATTTTAAGATGCATATGTTATACTACACAATCTCAAAAGGCAAATAAAATACTTCTAAAGGTCCTCAATTGAAAAATCAGTGATTTGTCCCAATTCTGGAGAATTTCTAAGTATTATTCATACTAAGCTAAAATTACTTAGTGAAAGGATGTATGCATTCTTAACTTTCAATTAAATGGATATATACTTTCTTCATTATAACTTCATTTTTCATATTATGAAATAATTTGAACATATGGAAATTTGTAACATGTATAAAATATGAAGAATAATAAAAGGAACAACCCAGTTTATGAAGTGGAACATCTCTAATATTATTAAAGCCTTTTGTATACTCTTTATGTATTCTGTCGCTTAACCTGATCCTCAGGTTAGCCATCAATCTGATTTTTTCATTTCCCATTGCTTTGTTTTTATAGATGTATATATATGAATATATATCCTTAATAATTCATTCTTTAATTTTGTGTGGTTTTACTTTTATATAATTGATATCTTATATATTGTTTGGAGACTTGCTTTTCTCACAATGTTTATGTATCCCCCAAATTTATATGTTGAAATCCTAACCAAGGTATAGGGTTTCTAATATTCCTCTGGGTTTTTTTTTTTTATCATTTCTCTTGAGATAAATATTTTAAAGTTGTTTCTAGTTTCTCATTATCATAAACAATGTCACATTGAATGTTATTATTCATGTTTCTTAATGGACATATGCAAGAGTTTCTCTAGGCAAGCAATTATCGGTCCATAGGTTGTAAACCTGTAAAATTTTAGTAAGAAACCTCAAAAAAAAAAAAGGCTTTTAAAAGGATTTTGATAATACTCCTACTAACTCTTCATGAGAGTTTTTATTCCCCCAATCCTCACCAACACTTGGTGTTTTCCATTATTTTATTTTATTTTAGTTTGTACTTTTGCCAGTGTTATGGGTGTGAAATTGTATTTTATTATGTATTTAACTGAGAAGTACAATCACTTGATTGCAGGATATGCTAAATGTTAACAGCTTCCCAAAGCTTTTTGTACACCCACAGTCAGTGTATCTAATTTTTGCTAACCAATGAATGTTAAATTGTATCCCACTGTGGTTTTAATTTGCATTTAGATTATTAATGAGGATCTGTTCACATATTATTTAACTATTCATATTTCCTTTTCTGTGCAATAAGCTGCTGTTGTGTTTTGCTCATATTTATAGAAGATTTTGTATGTTGTGGCTAATGCTTTTTTAGGTCTATTATGGCAAATATCTACTCCCAGTTTTGTCTTTTCTTTCCATTTTTAATGTCTTGTCTTATGATAGACAAAAATTCAGAATTTTAATGTAGATAATTAACATAATGTAATAGTTTGTATATTTTCCGACATGCTTAAGATATCCTTCTCAAACTTGAGATCATAAAGTTATTTAATTTTAATTTCCTAAAATTTTTAAAGAACAGTTCTTCAAATTTCAGTGTTTGCCTAGATAAGGTGTGTGTGTGTGTGTGTGTTTGTGTGTGTGTTTTTGTGTAGGTAGGAATCCAATTCTTTTTCCCATCTGAATAATTGTTTTAGCATTCCTTGTCAAATACTCTCCACTAATTTGCAATGATAACTCTGTCATATGAGTTTCCATATGTATATGGGTTTGTCTGAGCTTCCAAATCAATTCCATTAGTCTTTTTGATCAATCTTCATCATAATGTGCTGTTTTCATTACTATTACTTTATAATATGTAGCAATATCCAAAATAGTAAGTCACCCCACTATTCTTCTTCAAGAATATCTTAACTTTTTTTTGCTCTTCCATATTAATATTGGAATGAGCTTATTAATTTCCATATCAAGATTGTAACTGCAATTACACTGAGACTAAAGATCAATTTGAAAAGAAATGCCATCCTTATAATAAAATAACAATAAATCCTTAATATTATTGCTATGGTGTGAATGCTTGTATACCCCCAAATTTATATGTTGAAATCTTAAGGGATTAGTGCCCTTATAAAAGATGCCAGAGGGAGCTTTTTTCCCCTTCCCATCATGCAAAGACACAGCTAGGAAGCATTGTCTATGAGGAAGCAGGTACCTCACCACGTACCACAGGTGCCTTGACCTTGGACTTCCCACCCTCAGAACTGTGAGAAATAAAGGTCTGTTGTTTTTAAGTTACCTCACCTAAGGTATTTTGTTATAGCTGCCTGAACATATTTAGCTAATGATCAAATATTTGGTCAATGTTATTCATAATATAAAACTATGTTTTAAAATTAAAATATTTATCTGCTGCTTATTGCTGGTCTAGAGGAATATTATTCAGATGTTCTATTAAAAAATCTTGCTAAACTCTCTATTTTTTACCATTTTTGTTTTCTATATAAAATATTGTATCATATGCAGATAATGAGGGCTTATTACTTCCTTTCTAGTCATTTATAGATTTTTTTGTATTCCTATATAGGCTATGATTTCCAGAAAATATGTAACGAAATATGTAGTAAGTGTGATAACAGACATCCATGTTGTATTGTAAATATCAGGTTAAAGATGTTCTTTCAATTCTTATGTTCTTAAGACTTTTACCAGAAATTCTGATGCCTTTATTAAGACAATCATATGATCCTTTTCTTTAAAATGGTAGATTACATTATTCATAAGATAAACTCTACTTTATAGAATACATTATAATTTTTAGCTATTATGTGATTTATTTTGCCAACATTTTGCTTATAACTTACACATCTATTTTGAAAAGTAAAGTTGGTATGTAATGTTCCTTTCAGGGATCATTTCTGTCTGATTTTGGTTTGTAATATACAAACTTCATAAAATGAAATAGGAAGTATTCCCTCTTGATCTGTTCTCTGGGAGCCATGGAATAGAATTAGAATTTTTGAAAGAGAAATTATTCTTCAACTAAGAATTGTCTGTACTTGTTCTTATTAGGAAAGACTATGAACTACTGATTCAATGTCTTTAATATAAGATATTTTAAAGTTTCTTATTTGAATCATAGCTCTTTAATTACACTCTGTGCTATCTTCTATTAATTTTCAAATTTCTAGGTTTCTGGTTTTATCACAGTTCTCTTTCTTGAGTTTTGGTGCCCTTGGGGATTTCTCTTACTATTCTGTCAGCTTAGAAAGTAGTCTTTTAAAGTGAGTATATCATAATGTATACAGCATCTATGTATTTTTCAGAATATATATGTCAAAAGACTACTCAAATCAGAAATATACTAACTTGAGAGCTGATTTCCCAAGTAATACATGATTTCTTTGTATGTATTGATTAATATTTCCACAACATTCAAGGGAAAAAACCCTGGAAAAGCAGTTAATGATTATGACCTAA